GTCTAAGAGTTTATATAAACATAATACACATGAAATACCTAACTCCCATCTTAGCCAAGGTCATTTCAAATACTAATTCATTAGGTTCATTACACATGTAATTTTTTAATCTTATGATAAACAGGTAATAAAAATAAAGAGAGATGGCTCAGAGGTTAAGAGCACTGGCTGTTCTTCCAAAGGTCCTGAGTTCAATTCCCAGCAACCACATGGTAGCTCATAACCATCTATAGTGAGATCTGGTGCCTTCTTCTGGCCTACAGGCATATTAAGCAGGCAGAACAGTGATATAAATAATAAATAAATCTTCAAAAATAAAAGGTAGCTTTGAGAGAAAAGAATGCTTCTCCATTCCTGTAATAAGGGTACTACCTACCTATCTACTTACTATCTTATTAGAGATGATTAGGCTGCTTAGAGCTTTTTGTTGTTGTTTTGCTTTTGTTTTGAGGCAGATTCTCTCTGTGTACCCCTGGTTGTCCTGAAACTCATTCTGTAAACCAGGCTGGCTAGAGATCCACCTGCTTCTACCTCCAAAGTGCTGGGATCAAAGGGGTGCGCTGCCGCCACCTTGACCACCCTAGACGGCATGCTTAAAATTCTTAACAGTTGGGACCTAGTTTCAAACTCAGTGCTTGCCTCAAAAATAAGAGGTACAAAAGGTTATATATGAGATCTTATGATTCCAGGTAAAAGGAGTGCCAATGTGAAGACAGAAATCGAAACTAAGAATCTTTGTGAAGAAAATGAATTGTGGGTATAATTATACAAGAACTGAACTAGAGACAATGAGAACACAGAAATAAAAAAATATATACTTATTTATTTTTATGTATGAGTGATCTGTCTTCACACATACCCAGAAGAGGGAATTAGATCTCATTATAGATGGCTGTGAGCCACCATGCGGGTGCTGGGAATTGAACTTAGAACCTGTGGAAGAGCACTCAGTACTCTGAACCACTTAGCTATCTATCTCTCCAGCCCCATAAGATAAAATTTTATATGTCACTGTCCTATTGCATAGTTACTGTTTGTTTAGCAATGTATTGTTGTATCTTAATAGCTAATACTACTATAACTGTTTTCTGCTTCTTTAAAAAAAAATACTTTATGGAAAATGAACTGGGCCCTCTGGAAAAGTAGTAAGTACTCTTAAACTGCTGAGCTTTATCTCCAGCCTGGCTTTGCTTTCTACTTTTGTGTCAGAGCTATGTCAAATATGGAAGTGGATGTTGAAATTCTGAGTTTTTAAGCAGTTGTCTGACACAACCATTTAAAGAATACCTAATATTTTCTATCAGGAATTCTTTCCCAGAGAAGTAACTTAGAGTTATGGTAAATCTTAGACTATACTAAATGGCTTTGACTTCAAGCCTCAAAAAACAAATATTAAGGGGCTGGAGGGATTGCTCAGCGGTTAAGAGCACTGACTGCTCTTCCAGAGGTCCTTCTTTCCAGAGGTCCTGAATTCAATTCCCAGCAACCACATGGTGGCTCATGACCATCTGTAATGGAATCTGATTTCCTCTTCTGGTGTGTGTGAAAACAGAGCATTCATATACATAAAAAAATAAATCTTAAAAAAAAAAAGTTTAAAAAAAAAAACAAATATTAAAATAGGAGGGAATTATTAGGTGTTATCAGGCATGTGGGGTAAAACCACAAGAACGTTCGTTGGGCATGGTGGCACACATTTCTAAACCCAGCATTTTATAGACAGTTTTTAGGAAGACCCTGTTCAAAACAAAAGCAAAATCAGACCAGAAAATAAGCAGCCCAGCCTAACTCATTCTGTCCTCAAAGACTGCCACAACCACCTACAAAGTATCCAACAGACCCAATCAAATATCCTGCCACAAGACCATCAAAATACACATGCAACCACACTCACAAACCATGCACACAAAAAATAATTTAAAAATTTAACTCTTATTCAAGCTTCATTCATGATGTTCCTTAAAAATGGGTAAGATAAATGAACTTAACAGAGTACTAACTGGACAGATTAATTTCAAGCTATAAGCAAACATGGTTTGTCCATGACAAAAACATGGATATAGTTCCCTGTTCTCAAGCTTTACTTGAAAAGTCATATAGCTGACAAAAACAAAAAACTATACTATAGACAAGGGAATTTCCATAGCCAAAGGTTATTTACAGTAACATGCAAATACAGACAAAAAAATCCAATAAAGAATTCAAACTATGAATTTTAATCTGTTCTGCCTGGTTTAAAGTATCATTTGGGTGCACAATTTACCAATATTTTCTCTGTATCAGCCAAGCAAATATATTTTCAGTCTCATAGGCAACAGGCACATCTCTATCTTGTATTTTCATTAGCATGCTAAATTATACTTCAGTAGTATAAGACAAATGACAATTTTGATAACCCTTAATGTCAACAACTTCTAAAATTATGGTCATGTAATGGTTACAAACTATAAAAAAAAAAAAAATAAAGAAACAACAAAAAAAAACATTTAGTGCTAAATAACATTTATATATTATTACTCTTACTCTGCATGTAAGCCAACCATGTACACAAAGTCACATTCGATAAAACCTGTAAGTGTTTTATAACTGTTTAATACTCCTTTAGAATAAAGTAATACTTCTTACCTTCTGGAGTTGGAATGCACCCCAGGAAAACAAGAGGAGGGAAAAAAAAAAAAGATTTTAATTTTTCTTTACAAGTAATAAGCTCCCCCAAATAATTTATACCGTGATTTTCCAGCAATACTAACAATCTTCAAATTAGTAACAACTCCCATTTTGCTACATAAAACATTAAATTTTTTTAAATGCACAAATTAGTTCAAAACATCAATGTCTAAAACTGCATATTTAAATAAATTCAGCTACGCAGTCTAAGCTACTTTAGAAAAAAGTAAAATACCTGAAATCTATGAAAAAGTGTTAACTGTTAGAGCAGCTTAGTGCGAATTTTGTAATAGCATTCTTTTCCCATGCATTTATTTTCATTACAAGGAGTCATCACAAAGCCATCAACTATGGGATGATGAGGGTTATCTGCTTCTCTTTGATCTAAGTGGAATTTGATACTAATTTAAACAACAGATAAGATTATATTGTTGCTGCTGCTGGGTGTAGAGGCGGATGCTTGTACTCTCAGATTTATGAGATGCCAACATAGGCTATTTAGTAAATCCTGGCTCAAGACAAAAACAACAAAACAGCAAGCTGGGAAAGGTGGTATGCACCTGTAATCTTACTATTTTAACAGGTACAACATCCAGGCCATCCTGGGTGTTATTAGATCCTACCTACCTCTCGATTGCCCCATCCCCTACCCCACAAAAAAAAAGAGAAAAAAAGAAGAAAACAAAAACTTTTCTATCAATACCTAAGGGTTTATAAATTCTTTTTAACAATCCTACCAAGTTTGCAGGCTTGACAACAGACTACAACTGGTAGATAAGAAGAGAGGCTTAACCACAAAAACGGAAGCTCATATTAGAAAAACATACTAACTTAATTTAAAAAAAAAAAAAAAAGAAAAGGGACTGTGACTTTTGGGAGTTGATTCTCCCCTTCCACTCCTTCCATTATGCAACTCAGAGGTTAAACTTAGTTGTGTATAATGAACAAATGCTTTTACCTGTCAGTCATTTTACTTTGGGGCAATTTAGCTTAGTAAGTAGGTTTAAAAAAAAAATCTACTTTGCAGAGATAATGATTTCTGCCATAAAGTAATGACAATAAACTCTTATTTCCATAAAAGCACCACAAATGTTATATCTTTATTTTGATTTGGTCTTTGTGAAACAGGGTGTGGTAATTTAAATGAAAATGGTCCTCATAGCCTCATATACTTGAATGCTTGTTTCCCACTGTTGGAACCGTTTGGGAAGGATTAGGAGGTATGGTCTTCTTGGAAGAGGGTATCACTGAGAGTGAGCTGAGGTTTTAAAAACCCACCTAATTCCCAGTTAGCTCACACTTGTGACTCAAGATATAAGCTCAAGTGCTTTTCTAGCACCCTCTGTAACTGTAAGCCCAATTAAAAAACTTTCTTTTATAAGTTGCCTCAGTCATGAACTTTTATCCCAGCAACAGGAAAAGCAAATAATACACAGGGTTTTGCTGAGTAGTCCTGTCAGCCTGGTATTTAATATGTAACTGAAGTTGACCTCAAACTTATAGCACTTATCTCAGCTTCCTGAACACTGAAGCTAAAAATATGCTTCACCATACCTAACATTTTTTGGTTCTAATTTTTGGTTCAAATTTCTTATCTTTATGAAATATTCCCAACAAAAAGAGCCAAATTTGTCTCAATATACAGAATGAATAACATAATTTTAACATTTCTTAATGACAAAGTCTTAATTATGCAATGATCATTATATACTAATACAACAAGACAGTAAGAAATTGAAATGTGTATTTGACCATATTAACACATCCCACTGCATCTGAAGATTAAATATTTACATTTCATTCTTTTTAACAAATCTTATTTCTTTTCACACTGCCTACTTCTAAAGTTGACATATAGTAATTTTTATCCAATAATTACCAAGCTCAGTATATCAAAAGTACAAAGGGATAGGTGAAGGCTTAAAGATGACTCTAGACCTTCTGAAGAATTAAAGCACATGAGCTTTTGAAAGATAGCTACTTACCTGCTCATAAAAAAATTTTACTTGGGCTGGAGAGATAGCTCAGCGGTTAAGAGCACTGTCTGCTCTTCCAAAGGACCCAGGTTCAATTCCCAGCACCCACATGGCAGCTCACAATTGTCTGTAACCCCAATTCCAAGGGATCTGACACCTTCACAGTAATGCACATAAAATAAAATTAAATAAATTTTTTAAAATTTTGCTTTACTTATTTTTAATTTTATAAATACTATGACTTTAAAACTCCAAAGACCGACAGATGAATAAATCCAAGGTTCATGAAGTATATCACACTAACCAATCATGTTAAGGACAAAGAATACCAATATACACTAAGTATTACCAAATACTCTAACCAAACACAATTATTACTAGTAATATTTGAATAACTCGCCTGATTTCTTTTAGTCCTTCCCTCTGGATAACTTGTAGAATTTCTTTATGACTCATGGGTGTATTGGGATATTTTTCTAAGACCTGAGAAACAAGGAAATAACAATAAATTAATTCTTATTTTAAGTTCTCACTCTTATAGTTGTCTATTATTAAAACTATGTCAATAATGAGATCTAAAACATAAATATCTAGAGACTTCAGATCTTTTCTCTCAATCACAGTCAAATTCTAAAGTACAAATGTATCAAAAAGGCTAAAATAACACCTGAATTACTCATATTAATGAATATGACACTGTTTACTTTTAGTCTCCATTCCTGTATCACATCCCTATCTGTGGCCTACCAATTGTACACATTTTAAGATTATCTATTTTAACAGCATGTGATGGCACAAACCTTTAATCCCAGGACTCGGGAGGCAGAGACCAGTGGATCCCTGAATTCAAGGCTAGCCTGGTCTACAGAGTGAGCTACACAGAGAAATCCTGTCTCAAAAGGAAAAAAAAAAAGACTGAGCCAGGCACAGTGGCACATGCCTGTAATCCCAGCACTTGGGAGGAAGAGGCTGGTGGATCTCTGTGAGTTTGAGGCCAGCCTGGTCTACAGAGTGAGTTCCAGGACAGCCAGGGCTACACAGAGAAACCCTGTCTAGGGGTGTGTGTGTTGTGGGGAGGAGATCATCTGTACTTATAGTTATTTCTATCAAAAACTACTATTGCAGGAACATAAAATAAAATAAATGAACATACATCTGTAACTATTAAAATTGTATCTGTGCAACACTTACCTCTCTTTTTTATTTATTTATGTATATGAGAGCTTTAGTTGCATGTACATGTGCATGACAGAACAGAGCATCAGATTCCATTACAGATGGTTGTGAGCCACCATGTGGTTGCTGGGAATTGAACTCAGGACCTCTGGAAGAGCGGCCAGTGCTCTTAACTGCTGAGCCATCTCCCCAGGCCTCACTTACCTCTCTCTGCTTTCAGACTGCAAATAAAAGAAGACCTCACACCTCTCTTTATGTGTTCTCTACCATAATCAACTGTTAAATTAAATCCATGCTTCTTTAAAAAAAAAAAATCTATATCAGTGTTTTGGATACAATAAAGATAGTTAAGTGTAGTTTGTTCTGTCTTCCCTATTAAACGTAAAAGTCTGGGCAGAATGGATGAAACAGTTATTTGAGGACTTCAAAGATGAAAACCACAATTAGAAAAAACACTATATAGTCAGAAGTGGGTTTCCTGGTTTTGTTTTCTCTATAACCTCCTGGCTCAGACTCAACAGCGACCTGAAACCAAAGAACATACTGACAGAGACAGAAAGTGTTCCGAGAAGAATCTTGTCATTTTTGTCTGAAGTAAAGGGAGCCCTTCCTAATTAATGTCACAGAAGAAGGGAATTCTCCCAAGTTGTTTTTAGGCTTTGTGGTATGTTCCCTTCCTGTCCCTCTCTTTCTACACCTACCCAGGCAACATGGCAGTAGCTGTAGACCAGTGTCACACTTTGAAACTAGCCACTAGCTGATAGAAATGTAAAACAGATGCAGATAGCTGCAAAAGTTCTAAAACTTAAGACCTTTTGAATTTTAGTACATAGAAGATTGGTGCTAGAACTGATGCCACACATGGTGGCACATTCCTTTAATCCTGGCAGTGGAGGTAGAGGTGACAGATCTCAGTTAGTTCCAGGCTACATAGTAGACTCTGTCTCAAAAACAAATTTCCCCATAGGATTTAAACAAGCATTTGATAGTTTGTTTTTATTTGGTTTGAGGACAAATTCTGCAGCCCAGGCCCATAACTCCCTACATAGCTAAGAACACACTTGAATTTCTGACCCTCCTGTTGCCACCTCCCCAGTGCTAGGACTTGGGTTACAGACTAATAACTCAGGTTATCAGGCTTGGTGCCAAGTGCCATTACCTGAAGATCCATCCCACTGTCCCAGGTCCTGTTCTTTCTTCTCTCTTTTTTTTTAAATTTTTTATTTTGGGGGGTTTAACAAGGTTTCTCTATGTAGTCCTCACTGTCCTGGAGCCAGATAGACAGGCTAGCCTCAAATTCAGAGATCTACTTACCTCTGCCTCCCAGAATGCTAGGATTAAAGGAGTGTGACACCACTTCTTGAGTTCAATCTGCAAGACCCACGTGGGCAAGGAGAAAAGTGGCTCTTGCAAGATGTTTTCTGAGCTATGTGCACATGCACTCACAAATAAATAGTAATAACAAAAAAGGACAATTTCTCCTTTCGATAACTTAATTTCTGTTTATATTTAATTATCTTAATTCCCCTAAAAATATACAGAAGAATGAGAAAAATATGCATACACTAGAGAAATCTAGAGAAGAAAAAAAATCTCAAAATATTTCTGAGCAAAAATAGTACATTAAACTATTACATTTTTAAAAATTAAAGCAAGTAAAGGAAAAAAAGGAAAACTCTTGAATGTGGGAGAGATCCCAAGGTAGGCATATTATATTCTTTTACCACAAGTTTAATGAAAACTGTTACCTTACTCTAGCCACAGGAGGGCAGTGTTTGTCTCACAAAAAAAAAAAAAAAATTTCTACTGAAACTGTTTAAACAAAACACTTTTTTTTTTTTTCACTTTTCCTGAAACAGGTTTTTCTGGGTAGCCCTGGCTGTCCTGGAACTCACTCTGTAGACCAGGCTGGCCTCAAACTCAGAGATCCACCTGCCTCTGCCTCCTGAGTGTGGGATCAAAGGTGTGCGCCACCACCACCTGGCTTACATACTATTCTTATGACAATCTGATTAAACAGAAAAAAAGTTAAAAATCAACAGTATAAAGGAATCAAGGGCAACAGACAAGGTTCTTAAAGCACTTACTAATACTACTCCTTAACCAGAAGTAGCAGTGCAGGCTTTAGATCGTACTCAAAAGGCAGAGGCAGGCACTGGATCTCTGGAAGTTACAGGCCAGCCTGGTCTACACAGCAAGTGCCAAGTAGGCCAGGGCCACACAATAAAACCCTGTCTCAAACAAAACAAAACAAAGCAAAATGCAGTATTTAAATTACCATAATTATTATACCAAATTATTATTACATAACCAAATTATTATACACTCATTCCAGAAGTGCAAAGATGAAGAGTCTAAATTTTGAATAACCTACATTATTTCATTTTACATTTAAATGTTAGTAACATACAACTTTAATCCCAGCACTTAGAGGAGTGGGATCTCTTTGAGTTCAAGGCCAGCCTGGTCTACAAAGTGAGTTCCAGACAGCCAGGTCTGTTACACAAAGGAACTCTACCTTGAAAAACAAAACCAAAAAGTATTTATTAGCCCAAAAGCCTTTAAATAGTGTTAACTAATACTCCTGTGGCCATTGAGATCACACAGGACACACACAAAGTGAGACAGGTTAGAGAGTCTGTGCTACACAAGAAACCAAAAAAGCAGTGAAGAAAAACTATCAAACAGACTAACAGCTGGCTAGTGAAACTGGAAGAAAAACAAGAACATTTTTATGCCCTCAGAAAGTCAAATTTCAGTCAGGTGTGGTGGTCCATGCCTTTAATCCCAGCTCCCAGGAAGCAGAGGCAATCGGATCTGTGTTCAAGGCCAACCTGGTCTACAATCCAGGAAAGTGAGTTCTATACAGAGAAACCCTATCTTGAACAAGCCACACCCTTCCTGGATCTAGGGAACTATGCTAGATTTCACCCCCAAAACGTAAGTAGCACTAATTCCTCCAAAGTAGCCAGTATTATTTCTTCAAGGTCAGTGACTATATTACATAGGCATGATGTCACAAGCAAAACAAGGTTATGCTACATTACCTTGAGTGGGAAGATTAAAAGGTTTTCTTCTTGACTGTCCTTTCTGTGTTTCCTATTATGTACAAGTTTTACTTTAACCTAGAACTTTCTGCTTTATGTAAGCAAATATTCCCTTTGATGAATTCCACCTTTTTTAAGTCTATTTTCCAAAGGACATATGAAGTACAGTATTTGCAAATACGACATAAAAGTGATAAAGCTGGTATTATGTGAAGTAAGATGCACGAATTAAAAACATAGTCTAAAAATAGCCAGGAGGAAAACTGAAAAATATTGCCATACACAAAATTGCCTAAGAAAAAATCAACGAGAAATACTTATTAAAATACTTGATCCCAGCACTCAGGAGGCAGAGGCAGGCAGATCTCTATGAGTTAGAGTCCAGCCTGGTCTAGAAAGTGTATCTAGGGCAGCCAGCATCACAAAGAGAAACAGTGTCTAGAAAAACTAAAGCATTGGGAAAAAAAAAATGGACTCAGGATTGCATGTTGGGGTAGAAGAGTCTTGAGTTCCAGGCCAGCCCGCAGTATTTGGCAAAGAGTATTTCAAAAACAAGCAACACACCCCTAATATTTAGAAGAAAACTAATAAAAGGAAGAAGTGTTAATAAATCAAACACAATTAGAAACACAAAATAATTTCGTAAGAAACACTTCGATGTTTATAGTGTAAATTTTTCTAACTATGTATGGTAATATTTAATCATAACTGAACATCAAAGCTCCTATATCTTCTAAATAAATTTTTTTTTTAATTTGCACTATTAGCCTGACAAAGTGTCTATGGCAAAAGCTGTGATTTCATGCACTGCCAGTAGTTACAACTGGTGAAAGCCTTAACTACAGCAATGTATCCAAGAAGCACATCAACAGCTGCATAGTAGCTCAGCAGTGAAGGCACTGGCAGCGCTGTAATACTTGTTTTTAAAACTATTTGGGGTGTTTAGGCCTCAACCTCCCTTGCAACTTCCCAATCCTAGTAGGAGGGAGAAGATTAGTGGGGAGAGAGGGCCGCCTTACTTCTCCTGGCTGTTTAGGGTCAAAGGGTTCGTTTAGGGCTATACCAATCTCCCTTAACAAAAAACAGACAGCAGTCTCCTTCAAGACGCTGTGCCCCGATGTCTGTCTGTCTGCTCCTATATCTCCAAATTGCTACATGCCACATGCCATACTCTCCCAGCTCCTATATTTATAACCTCATCGTCCTAGCGAATGCCCCTCTCCACACCACAAGCACGTGGAAGGCCATTACCAGCCGGCA